AAAAAAAAAAAAAAGAAGATTTTAAGTATGTCTGCATGTTGGGGGCACTTCATATGAGGCTGACAGGCACTGCAATTGACTGTTACATGTACTTGGAGCCTTTGTATAATGACTGTAGAAAGATCAAGATCCAGAACCAAAATAGGGAGCCTGAACTTGTGCATGTAGATGAATTTATTGATGAACTACTACATAGTGAGGGAGTCTGTGATATTATTCTGCCATGGTTACAGAAAATGTTATGTGCTCGAAGAAGCTGAGCAACTGGAGCCATGAGTTAGTGCTCTAGAAAAAGACAGAGATGACGTGGAGTCCAGTGAAGAGGAGCATGAGAAGTTGGAAAGAATGCCATCACCTGACCTTCGCCAGAGAAGCTACCTAGACTTATATAGGTCTCGCTACTCTCCTAAACGGGAGAGCCGATCTCCTAGAGGGTGAAGTTGATATCACAAAAGGAGTAGCCCTTCACCCTGCCAAGGAAGACACTGGAACAAGAATCCAAATGTAATTTCCACTTCCATAATTTCCTCCTCCATAGTTGCCATAACCACCTCCATAGCCCTTACCCTGGTTGCCATATCCAGGTTCTCCACCACCATATCTTCGTCATCCTCCTCTATAACCAGGGCTACCTCCAAGATTGAAGGTCCTAAGATCGAAGGCACAGATCCCTTTCCAAATCTCCCATTCTGTGCTCATTCTTTTATAAGGGGGGACAAAGCTGCATGCTTCAGCTGTGGAGCACTTCGTGGTTCTAAACAAGCCTCTCCTGGCCTTTACTGGCTAACACTCAGGTTACTGCTCTAATCGTTTCTGTCTGACCCAATCAGACAATGGACCCAATTGAGTTAATATTGCCCAGCAGTAGATTACACCTTTGTTTAGAGCGTTGCCAGGCCCTGCAGCATAAGCACAAAGACTGTATCCACTTTAAGGCGCTCCCTACACACCCTTAAAAAGTCAAGTGACTGGGATCAACAGGTGGCTTAGTGGGTAAGGTGGTGTTGGACTCTGACATGGCCAACTGTGGTTTGAGTCCTGGACCTAGTAGCTAGAAAATTATGCCAGGCACATGTGTGTGCATGCCCAAAATCCTGAGATAAGAGGTTACAGTGTGGCCATCCTCCGTAGGGGTAATTTCTCTACCTGCCCCCACCCCTCTGTGAGCACACTATGGCAAAAACCTAAAAAAAAAAAAAAAAAAAAATCAAATGATTGACTGACTTCCTACAACTATTAGTTTTAGCAGGTATGTAAAGATCAGCTGTCATACAAGATCCAGTTTCTTGGGAAGACATATGGTCATGAGAAGAAAGTTGTATTACTTGCTATTGAACTGACAGACTTCTGCAGCAATATTAAAGCATTTAAAAAAAAATCTGAGCTTTCATGTTTTAAATGATTCTTCTCATAAAAATGCCTCAGTTGGGGCCGGCAGGTGGCATAGTGGTTAAGGGCACTGGACTCCCATATGGCCGACCACGGTTTGAGTCCCAGACCTGGTGGCTTGCTTTCTCATTTTCTCTTTCTCTCTCTGGCTTCCTTTCTCACTTTCTCTCTCTCTCTCTCTCTTTCTCTCTCTCTCACTTTGAGCCCCTCTGGTCAAATTAAAATAAAGTAAAAAAAAAAGCCTCAGTTAATAAAAATTGTCCATAAGAGCTATTGTAGTTTATGCTACAACTTTATATAGCTTTTAAAATTAAATATAATCAACTCCACTTAAGTCTGTGGTAAAATCCTAGCACTTATGTCTTTGCTAAAGAGATTTAGGTAGAAACAAATGTGTTTTGGCTAAATGATCCATGGACCAACCAAGTCAGCATCTAGTATATTGTTAAAATAAAAACCTTATTTTAAAATATATCTTAAAGTAAAAATAAATCATTAAAAAGATTCCAGAAAATTGATTTATTTGCTACACAGAGAGAGTCACAAACAAGCATTCTTAAGAATCTCACACCATGATTTTCCCCTAGCCTTTCCAGGCTACCAGGAACATGCACATGCAAGTACCCGGCACCTGCAGGTTGATCCATGAACCAAACTCTGACCTAGATGGCTCCAGCATTACAGAGTGGTGCACTAAAGCTTAGCCACTGTGGCTGGTTATCTCACTTTTAACCTATACTATGCTTTTCGGAAAGAAACAGGATGGCAGATCTAAGATCATGAAGCCAAATAAGGCATTTCTCTTTTTTCTTTTCTTCTTTTCTCTTTTTCTTGAGAGAGAGAAAGTAAAAAAAGCACTTCCCATGGGGCACGGTTATGCTGCAATCCTTCTTTTCCATCTTTCCCTCCTGGGATTTCAGGCATGCACATATACTGGTCTGGTGTTTTTCAAGTTGCCAGTCTGGGATTTGAACCACAAGGTCAGTCATGTGGGATCCAGCTGTCTTTACTACTATGCTATTGACTGGCCCCAAATAAGGCATTTCTCTATCTCCTGAATAGCTTATAATAAATAATCTACAAAATCCCCCCATGAACATAGAAAAAAATGTTAATAACAATATTCAGCCTGTAAAGTGAGCTACTAAATGTCATTAAATGATAAATTTTAGACTATTTATGACTTTTAATCTCATTAACTACAATTCTCTTTTCAACTGTTCAGCCTTGACAGCAACAAGTTTTAAGTTGTTATGCTATTTGAGAATGTGACTGAAGTGACAGTTATGAATTATTCTAGGATTTAAAGCAGTTCTTCTGTCAGAGTAGGAGTTCAGAGTTGTGGCAAGGAGCCCAGAGTCAAAGTCTTTATTTTTCTGGAAGTCATGCTACTTTTTGTCATCTTAAGGGAGGTACTGCTGACTCCTGTTCTATCCTTTGGGAATGCTAAACAAATGGACACCTTAGATAAGGCACAACCTAGGATGAGCTTAAGAGTGGAATATCTATGTGTGTTTAGAGTTCTCTTCTATTGCTCATAGTTCCTTCTCAGAATTTAGACAAATAACTGAGTGGTGCTTTCATCTTCTTTGAGATAACTCACCAGGGTAGCCTTCGAGTCCATAGGCTCGCCACTTGCTGACTGGCTGAAGTCCTGCTCTACATGCATCATTCTCACTCACTGCAGACACGCTTAGCTGAGATCTGAACACCTGGCAGGAAAGAAACAGAAGTCAGAGGGTTCAAGGTATTTTGAAGGTTTTTGGAACCTCAAATCTCAAGACATCTCTGGTATAAGGCAAAGCTGAGTCTCAAATCTGGGATCCTAGTCTCAGCTTCATCACTTATGTGATTTGGAACTTACAGATGAGTCGCTTAACTTTTTCTTGAAGTTTTGCTTTATGGTGCCGGTGTTCACCAGAGAGAGAGAGCGAGAGAGCGAGAAGTACCCCCTGGAGGAATGGCTATGCTCCCATCCCTTTTCTTCATCCTTCTCTTGGAATTTTAGGCATGCACGTACACATGCTCAGTGTATTTTTCAAGCCTCTGGATCTGGGACTGAAACTGTGCACTTGGCCATGTGGGATCCAGCTGCCTTAACCTTCACATCATCAGCTGGCCTACCAGAAAAATTTATAAAAGTTTTGTTTTTTGGACCAGTCTCAGACTAGTGGCTAAGGGAAATGGATCTTATATGGATAACTGCGGTTTGACTCCTGGTCCTGGAGGCTCAAAAAACATGCTGGATGTGTGTGCAAGCATGTCCAAGATCCCAACAAGATGTAGAAATGGAGAAGAGACTGTGGTGTGACCATGCCCAACCAGAGGATGCTTACTCTCTCCCCCTCTCTCTCTGACCAACATACATATAACCCTCTGTCAGTTAAAAAAAAAGAAAAGTTTTTCTCAGTCACAGTGGTACATAAGCAGTGCCTCTGCTAGGGAGGCTGAGGTCACATGGGAGACCAGCTTGCTTTCCTTGGCCCAGCTGAACACACTAATGCAGGTGCATGGGCCTATATCCCTAGTTAATTAGGAAACTGGGACAGGAAGACTGCAAAACAGTAAAAGATCAAGGCCCTGTCAAAAATACTACCTTGGGCCAGCTGACGGAATGATGGCTAAGGTGGTTGGACTTCACATGGCTGACTGCAATTTGAAGCCCAGACCTTGTGGCTTGAAAAACATGCTAAGTGTGTGCATGCTTGCCCCAAATCCCAAGAGGAGAATGGAGAAGAGATTGTAGTGTGGCCGCTCCCCCTGCCCCAGTACCCCAGCGAGTTACTTGTCACTTCCCAAACTCTTCTGGGCAAACGCAAGCATCCTATAGCCAAAAGAGGCCAAAAAAAGAGAAAAAACCCAAAAAACAAAACCAAGGGAACCACCAGTGAGCGTAATGGCTATGTCGCTGGACTCCCATGTAGTCGACTGCAGTTCATGTCCCAGACCCGGTGGCTTAAAACTTACGCCGGGCACGTGTGTGTGCGCGTGCCCAAGATCCCGAGAGGAGAATGGAGGAGAAGGGATTGCGGTGTGACCATCCCCTCCGGGGGGTGATTTCTCGCTTTCTGTCTCTATGTCTCTCTCTCTCTGTCTGGCGAGCCCACACACCCTATAGCAAAAACCTCTCAAAAAAAAAAAAAAAACCCAAAAAACCAAAACAAACAAACAAAAAAAACAAACACAACTCAAATCCTTTTCTACTCTCACAAAGAGGAGGGAAATCTTTTTTGTACCCTCCCTTGCTAGACTACTGCTCTACACTGTTCTCACCAGCTGTCTTATAAAAGCCATTTCTTCTCCAATTAAATTGTTTTTAATCTGTTGAATTAGGGAATGAAACAGTCAAGCTTTCACCTACTTGACACATACTGTATTTATTTAGAGTACTGTTTTCAGTATTGTGTTTGACAATTCCCTGGTAGCTTATATTTTAAAGGTATGTACATATTATGGTAAAATATAGGTAAAAAGAGCTGACAGAGGATTGAAGGAGTCTTTCAAGAGTCATATATGTATACGTATACACACACACACACATATTAGGTTATCAGGAAAGTAACGATGTAGTTTTTTTATTCTTTTTAAAGAATTATTTTATTTTATTTTTTAATTTATTCATTCACTTATTTTAATTTGACCAGAGAGAGACAGACAGAAAGGGAAAGTGAGAACGCAAGCCACCAGGTCTGGGACTCAAATCATGGTCGGTCATGTGTGGGTGTCCAGCGCCTTAACCGCCACGCCACCTGCTGGTCCCATGACATAGTTTTTTAAAATTATATTTATTTTTGAGAGATTTTTGCTATAGGGCATGTGTGCTTGCCAGAGAGAGACAGAGAGAAAGTGAGAACTCATCCCCTTTCCCGCTGTGCCCTCCAGGATGGCCATGCCACAATCCCTTCTCCATTGTCCTCTTGGGATCTTGGGCATATATGCACATTCGTCGGGCATAAGTTTTAAGTTGCTGGGTCTGGGACTTGAACCATGGTCAAGTGGGAATCCAGCAACGTAACCATTATGCTATCTGCTGGTCCCCATGACATGTTTTTCTAGGCGTAAATGTGTCATGACTTTCTGGACAGCCCAATATAATACATGCATATATATAATTGTGGGTACAGACTTTGTGTATGTTATTTTGACAACTCTAAGACCATTTTTTGCGAGCAAATGAAGTTGATGAGAAATCAAATTCTACACAAATATGGTGTTACTAGAGCATCCTAATTTTATTGAGAGTTTTTCCTAAAGTTGGAAAGTATGCCTCGTCTAGACACCTGTGGACAACCCCAAAGCAAATTAAGGGATTATACAGTCTCAATGATAAGGTGATTGTGAACAAAATGTACACTATATTATAGTTGTAGTTTCCTCCTATCCCATTATGTTACCGATTTAATTTCGATGTGTACATACAAACTGGTGCTTGGAGTCTATAGATTCTCGTTTGCCATTTAGTTTCACCTTGGAGAGATTATTTCAGACCTCCTCAACGGTCTGGTTCTAAATGGCCCAGAGAAGACAGGGACTAGTTTTACGCAGTAGCTTAATTTACAACGTAGGCTGCTCTCAGTTCTAGGCTTATTACTCGGGGGTCGTTTCTGTCAAGCTGAAGAGTGCTACTATAATGTCTATAAAAAAATTCTACTGGGTTTCACGCAAACCAAAGCAAAAGCGAGAGTGGACGGTTACAGGAACGACTACACATCAGTTTTTAGGCTTTTCTGACTGAGGCGGTGCCTAGACCGGCTGGGCGAAGAAACGAGCAGCACAGGGCTTTATCCCCCGGGTGACAGGTGGTGAGCAGTTCAACTCTGTATCCCAGGAGAGCGGAGATCGCTCAGTGACAAAGGATGAGGAGAGGCGGACACGGAAGACCCTCCACGAAGCCAGGTGATGGGGAGGCGCGCGCCGCCCGCTCTCCGTACCTTGTGGGCACCAGGCTCAGTGCCGTGGGCTGCGTGGGCCGCCGAGAAGTCGATGACCCCGCCCAGGTCTGCGGTCCCAGGCCGGCTCTGCCGGTAGAAGCGGAAAAGTTTCCGAAAGGCGTCCTCCCCAGGTTCCGCGGCCAGCGTCGCTACAGAGCCCACGGCAGCCGCCATCTTCCCCATTTCGCAACTTGCTCTGTGCCCACCCACTCGACCCGGAAACAGATTACCGCACTCCGGATCCGGAAGAGGTTTTCGGGGTCGCGACCCCAGAGCACGGAGGCTCTTAGTTTGAAAATGGCTGCCTCGGCAGTACGGGCAACCGTGGCGTTGCGAACGGGTATTAGTCGTCCCATTGCTTTTGTCAGGAAAATTCCTTGGACCGCAGCGGCGAGTGAGTGATGGAGATGCGGGAGGGGCGAGAGTTTTAGATCCTAGAGATCCTCAAAACCCTGCTGTCTTCCGAGCACTGAACTAACTCAGCGTGGTGCCTGGATTAGGTGCCTGAATTTGCTCCTGAGCAAGCCTATGAGCAAAAAGGAATTTTGTTTGCGATGAATAGTTTAGGGATATCTTCTGAGCTTGGGAGCACGATTTCACGTTTTCTGTCTTTCGGAGTGACTTGGTGGAAAGATACATTAACTTACAAATTGAAAATTTAGGATTTATAGGGGATGATTTTGACTGCAGTATGGAGGGATTCAGGGTGGCAGGATTGTAGGCGAGGAGACCATCTCAAGAATTTAGTTCAAACATGAGGGTTTGATCTAGAGCAGTGATACGAGGTTGGCGGTCAGATCCTCTTCCGTTATCAGAATAAAAATGGAAAGCATTTATCGGTGGCTTTAATGGGGGGAGGGTACAGATGAGGAAAAGAGAGGGATGATGTTAACATTGGTGAATTTTGTAATTAGAATTTAGGAGCAGTAGGCCTACAGAAGATGAGTAAAGTAAGAATGTATTGAGTTTGAGAAGCCTGTGAAGTAATTGAGAGGTCGTCTATTACTGTGCTTGAGAGCAGGACTCTGAAACCTGACAGTTTTGATTATCGTTCCAACTTGGCCATTTATTATTTGTGTAACTTTAATAACAAGGTAATATGGGACAAGGGCTCACAACCGTGTCTTAACTTAAACATTTATAACTTGAAATCATTAATACCTGCATCATAGGATTGCCGAGAGGACTAAATGAATTTATATGGAAACTTATTAGACTTGAGCCCAATTCAGTATAGTACTCAGCAAATGGTAGTTATTTTCATGCCTAGTAAAATTGAAGCTCAGGGTGGAAGCTTAGTCTGGAAACAGGGTTGGAATAATTTGAAATCTCTCACCAACTTTGGATTTTGTGAGGTGCTGTTTTGAGATAAGGTTTTTATATTTGCTTGCCAAAATTAAAAAACAAAACAAAACAAAACAAAAAAAACACTATGACTGGGCAGGCAAGTGGCATGGTGGATAAAGGCCCTGGATTCTCACATGACTGATGGTTGTTTGAGTCCCAGACCTGCAGATTGCTTTTTTGCTTTCCCTTTCTCTCTCTATTTCTCTTTGATCATATTAAAAAATAGTAATAACAAATGGAATTAATTAAATAAACAATTCTTTTAAAAAAACCCAAAAAACTATGGTCACTTTTTAGAAGAATGAACAGGGATTACTCTCCTGGATTTTGTGACTCAGAAGACAGTAGTAGTATAGGAAATAAATTGGTTCGTGTCCCATCTTTTCAGTATATTGTTGGTGAAGACCGAACCTAGTAGATAGTCTCCCTTAGGCCCTGTAGAACTTTGTGGAATGGCTGAGAGATTTCACTAGTGTCTTGCAGGGGCAGTTTTCCAGATCATAAAGACCTCGTTTAAAAATCCTTAAAAAGAGTCTGCATAATGTAAATAATGTACAACTTTGAAAGTTTCAGTTCATTCATTCATTAAGAATATATTAATATTTAAGGAGAACCTGTTATGTAGGCATGTTCTTGCTGCTTGCAGCTGTTTCTCCTGAACATAGGAAGTTATACGGGAAAGGGTAACATTGAGAAGTGGTTTATTTTGTAAGTAAATGTTTTCTAGAAGGATTATTTTATTTTTGGAGAGGTTTTTGCTATAGGGCGCATGCACTCGCCAGAAAGACAGAGACAGAGACAGAAAATGAAAAATCACTGCCCAGGGGGGATGGGCACACACGCCCAGCGTGATTTTTTTTTTTCTTTTTTTTGGAGAAGTTTTTGCTATAGGGCACGTGCGCTTGCCAGACAGACAGAGAGGGACAGAGAGACAGAAAATGAGAAATTACCCCCCAGGGGGGATCGCCACACCGCAATCCCTTCTCCTCCATTCTCCTCGGGATCTTGGGCACGCACGCACACACACCCAGCGTGAATTTTAAGCCACCGGGTCCGGGACGTGAACTGCGGTCGACTACATGGGAGTCCAGTGACATAGCCATTATGCCAACTGCTGGTCCTGCCAGCGTGAGTTTAAGCCACCTGTCCGCAACTCGAGTCGCGGTCGACTACATGGGAGTTCAGCAACATAGCCATTTTGCCAACTTCTGGTCCCTTCTACAACTTTTAATACCTGATTTAAAACATGAGTGTTGGGACCAGCAGTTAGCGTAATGGCTATGTTGCTGGACTCCCACATAGTTGACCGCGGTTCCCATCCTGGACCGGGTGCCCAAGATCTGAGAGGAGAATGGAGGAGAAGGGATTGTGGCGTGGCCATCCACCCTGGAGGGTGATTTCTCGCTTTCTGTCTCTCTGTCTCTGTCTGTCTGTCTGGCGAGTGCAGGCGTCCTATAGCAAAAAAAACTCTCCCCCCCCAAAAAAAAGGCTTACTGGACATTTATTTATGATGTCCTACTGTGTATCAGGTACTGTAAATACAGTGTTTTATCTATTCAGGGACCTTATAGTGTAGAGATGGGGATACAAAGACTTAAAACAGATGAAGGAAATTGTTGAGCCAGGGAGATTTAAATGAGGAGATAATCCCAGGTAATATAAAATGTAAATAAAAATATAAGCATTGTAGTTCAGAAGGGAGTGAGAGATTATTCAATTTTTGATCTTTACAGTTGTACACTCTAAATCTTTTTAGTTCTCACAGGGTTCACACATTGACTTGTATTGCAGTAGGAGTCTAGTAAAACAATCCTCAATGGATATATTTGGTTTGGTTCTAAAAGGACAGTTAAAATTTAGGCTGAATTAGGATTACTGACATATCAAGGAGAGAAAAACAAGAGATGAGAAAATCAACAAGACAAATGGAGAGAATTCAGTTTGATGTACTAGAAAGTAACTATGAGCCAGCAGTGGGAACTAAGGCAGGAAGGGTCTACTCACTAAATATGAGCACCATCTATTGTAAACGTTAAATTATGAAAGATGAGTGAACTAGTTTTTTTATTGAGAAAACGAATGTAGCACTTCACGCAGTGGATTGTGGTTATCTACCTTTTCTTCTATGTGATCTGCTTACGAGGATTATAATCCACATACTTAACATCAATATTTGCTGTAATGAAGACACTCAGTATTTGCTGAGGATGGGGACAGCAGATGGAGATTTAGCAATTTAATCTGTCCATGTTTCCACCCCACCACCTAATCTGGCACATTACAGCTATACAGTTAGTACCATAGCTGCTTCCTCATCTTAAGGCTTTAAGGAAATGCAACATTGTTCTTAGCCACAAGAAGTTTGGGGGCTATAAGTCCCCTTTTGAGTTCTGTCTGTAATATTGACCAATAAATGCAGAATATATTGACTACTTTTAATATATCATCTCTCCCGATACAGGTGAGCTGAGAGAACACTTTGCACAGTTTGGCCATATACGAAAGTGCACTGTACCTTTTGTGAGTATTATCTTTAAAAGAAATTATTAGAGGAGCGAGCAGATGGTGTAGTGGTTATGTCAGTGGACTCCGACATGGCTGACTGCAGTTCAAGTCTGGTGGCTTGAAAATCATGCTGGGTGTGGGTGTGTGCATTCCCAAGATCCTGGAAGGAGAATGGAGAAGGGATTATAGTGTAGCTATCTCTCCTGGGCGGGTGATTTCTCACTTTCCCTCTCACTGTCTCTCTTTCTCTCCTGGCAAGTGCATGTACCCTAATGCAAAACCTCTTAAAGAAAAGAAAAACTATTAGGGCCAGCAGGTAGCATAGAACTGAAGGTGCTGGATCTCACATGCCAACTGCACAGTTCAAGTCCCAGACTTGAGGCCTAGAGAGAATCACATTGGATGCATGTGCATGTGTGCCCAAAATTCCAAGAGAAGGGACTGCAGTGTGGCCATCCTCCCTGGGAGGTAGTCTCTCACTTTACCTCTCTGTCTTTGGTGAGCATACATGCCCTATAGCAAAAAACTTAAGAAAAAAAGTATTAATATTATCTTCTAATTGAAAACATATGAACTTATTCAATATTTAATAGAAAGAGGTTATTTTGTTGATTAAATTATAGGTGATACTAAAAAACCAAACTTATAGGTATTTATGTTTTTTATTGTTGCAAAACAAATTAGTACAAGTTTAATGGCTCACAGCAATACACATCTGTATCATCTCACAGCTGGGCACAGTTTAGCTGGGTCCTCTGCCCAGGTCTCACTTGCCTGTAATCCAGGGTCAGCTGGGATTGTAGTCTGCCTCACAAGTGGTTCACCTGTAGAAAGACTAACTTCCAAGCTCCTCAGTTTATTGGCAGAATTCACTTTTCACCTGTGTGATCATGGATTCCTGATTTTTTTTTTCCCCCTGGCTTTTGGCTTTATACAGTCAGCTGGGAGCTGTTTTCAGCCCTTAGGGGCTGCTTGCCTTGTTACCTGGCTTCTCTGTAGGCTTTCTTACAATATAGTAGCTTGCTTCTTCAATGCCAGCACGGAGCTTTCTCCATTCTGCTAAGAATCTTCTATGTATAAAAAACATAATCACAAGAGTTATCCTTACCATATATGCTGACCAAGGGAGCAACATTTCATCATCTTTGTCATTTTCTTTAGGTTAGAAGCAAGTCACATTTTCTGTCTACAGTCAAAGGGAAGGGATTATACAGGCTGAGAAAACAGGGATGAATGGAGGTCACGGGGCCTGTCTTGGAATTCTGCCTATTAGAGTATTCCAGTAAGGACTTGAGACAGTAGAGGATAATTATATTGCAAACTAATTGGCAGAGAATATTTATGTTTTATCCTAATTGAAGTCCATTTCATTTTTTTAGGTATTTATAATTAAATAGTAATTTTTATTATTTTTTCTATTTCTTTATTGCCAAAGGGTATGTATACTTGCCAGAAAGAAAGCATCCCCTCAGTGTGGTTGTGCACCAGTTCCTCCTCCATTTCTCAGTCCTGTCAGGAACTTGAGCACGTGCCCTATATTTCAAGCCATCCAGGGCAGGACTTGTACTGTGATTGGGCATGTAGGATCTAACTCCATATGCACAGTGCTTAAAATCTGTACACTACAGGACCAGCCCAATAAAACAGTATTTAAAAATCCATGATTGAGCATTTCTGTGCATATGTGATAGAAAGACTACCTGTCATAGTCTGATTGCTGCAGTCCCGTTCTCTAATCTTCCAGATCACTGGTTCTTGGGCACTTACCCAGTGTGCTTCAGGCTGACCTGGCCAGGGATTTGAACTGTGGTCACTATGGGATCCCATGTCTCTGAGCAGTGTATTACTACTATCCCATGGAGCTGGTCCTATAACAGTATTTTTATGTTAATTAACATTTCCTTTGCTTTCTCATGGGAGTCTAGAGGTCAGCCTGTAAATGTGTTCTACTTTATCCTGGGCTACATTTTTCTGTGGGCTTTTTGGAGCATGATGTGAGTATGCATAGAGTGGATCATTAGGACATCACCAGAAACTCTTCCCTCATTCAAGGCCATTACTTACAAAGTTACCTTTGATGTATCAGAGCAATTTCTAAGAATTTGATGTTTTTTTTTGCAAAGCACAACTTTGTAGAGACTGATGAGGATCAAATGGTTAACTACACTGAATAGACATCTCTGTGACTGTCCTTTTCAGAGGGCTAGGGACAAGGCAGGTCCAAGTACATTAGCCCCTGGCACTTGGGATAGATAAGTTGCATGATAAATACTCTGCCTTTTGCACGAGTAAGAGTAGCAAACTTATTTAAATTAACCAGATATCTAGAACTAGATAAGTAAAGGTGTAACATTTATCTTCTATTTTTTACTAGGAACATGTGATAATAGTAGATGAGATTGATCTCAGAAGTAACCAGAGAGACAGACAAGATTTGAGGTTTAATTTTTTAGTTTCTAGAAATAAGGTTAGAAAAAAGGGTACCTCAAAATTTCCCTTGACTATTAACTCTTAGTATGGTTTGCACCTAGAATGACAGAAAGCTCATTATCTTAAGGCAGTGGAAAAGCAGAGGGAGTATTAAGCTTAACACAGGGATTTAGCTTTAGGTAACTGAGAGGGTGAGCATACCAAAGGAAAGTTACTGATGTTAATGTCTAGAATTGATTCCGCCAAATGAAAAAGTTGGTAGTTTAGTTTGGAGCTCATGGAAGCTTTCAAATTCATGATTAATCTATATTCTGAATTTTTAGAATAAAGAGACTGGCTTTCATAAAGGTATGGGTTGGATTCATTTTTCTTCAGAAGAAGAACTTCAGAATGCACTACAACAGGAAAATCATATTATTGATGGTGTAAAGGTAAATCTATTCACATCATGAACTTTCTATCCAATAAGTAAGAGATTTGGAATGACAAGGACTTTGGGATTTGTAAGCAAAGCTGCCTTTAATGCTTGTTAGACAGTGTAGTGACACAGTGCACTGTACTAAAAGGTCTGGGGAGGGAGGTACAGGAAGACTCATTAGTGGTTACTAAGGTATATGTGACGCAGAACAGGAGAAATGGCAGTCTACTTTGAAGTCAGGTAAATGGATTGAGTCTCCAGCTTTCTTGGGCATATTGATTTACAAGTTTAAGTTGAAGTCTGGCATGTCTTAAGAACAGGGAACAAATAACAAATGTTTAAGTTATTGGTGTTGACTCCCTTACAAAAAGGCAATCTTATTAAATTGTTATCTTTTAGTTTTAAAGTTTTTTCAGACATTGTCTTTTCCTTACAGTGTTTATTTGATTTTTCAGCTCCACGTTCAAGCTCAAAAACCAAAAGTTTTTCAAGGGAATCAAACATCTGATGAAGAGAAAGATTTCTGAGACTGTTATGGCCCATTAAAGTAAACATAACAAAATTTTGTCTAGATGTTTTTATTTGAAACAAATAGTTGAATCAAGGAAGAGCTTACTTTCCCTATTCCAAATTAAAACAGCAGAATAGGGACAGAATTCATTTGGTAGGACAGTTCCAATATCAACTTACTCATTGTGGTTGGGGTAATTTTATTCATAAGCAGTTGCTCTTACACAAAATACTAACCCCAAACTAACAGTGTCACACAAAAGGGGAGTGGTCTTGGTTTTGTGTGTGTGTGTGTGTGTGGGGGGGGCACTTTATGTTCTATATGCCAAAAGGCGGGAGAAGCACAAACACGACCTGCTCTTTAAAAAAAACTAGTTCAAAGTAGAATTTTTTTTATCCCCTGTACTTCAGTAATAAAAAGTAGCGCTGGGATCTGGCACCCAGATTTGGTTTTTATCTTGACCATTTACCAGGTGTTCCCCCATCTGACTTGCCTCATTAGGGTTACTAGTCCATTCACTATGAAGAGAGGTGTTATCGACTCCTTTCTCCTCTTCTTGCCTTCATGCTCATGTTCCTTGGGACGGCTGCTATCTGAAGGTCTTTTAGAGCCACCATGTTGTTTGGCTTCTTCCAAAAACTTGTCCAAACCAAAAGGATCTTCTTCAAACTGAACTGGTCCCTCTCGTCCTCTCTGTCTACGGTCTGAACCAGAAAACTCCTTGTCGGGAACAAATCTAGGGAAAAAGAGAGAGGATTCTGAGCTACATTGTTTTCACTGTTATGAACATTGAAATTGAGTTGTCTACCTTGGTACCTGTTGGTCTTTATTCTGGCTTCTAGATCATCACCATACATGTCCTTGTCCAGATTTTTACTGGGCCTATAAATACTCTGGGCCATATCTTTACCACCTCTCCAGGCTTGATCATAAACATTGTAAATTTCATCTTCTCCACCTGCAAATCCACTGTCCATACCCTGTGGAAAAATCAATGACATTAAATAAAAATGTGCACATTATTAAAAGCTCAATTGGATTTCCTGACAACCAGTCTAGTACTTTTTATTGTTTTGTAGAGGGTCTGTGAGGTTTAGAGACTATTCCCACCCCAGTGGCATATGGTCACACTGCAATCCCTTCATTTTTCCATCCTGTCAGGATTTTGGGCATCCATGCCCAAGCACTCAGTGTTTTTCAAGTTGCTCAGGCTACGGTTTAAACCATAGCCATATGCAAACTGGCTCCCAGTGCACAGACAACCCTTAACCGCTGTGCCAAGAGCCTGACCCAAGTCTAGCACTTTGACCCAGTTTTTTTGTTTTGTTTTATTTTGCTATACAATGTGTGTGCTTGCTTGCTGTAGAGGGACAGTGAGAAGGAAAGTGAGAAATCACTCCCCAGGGGGAATAGCCATGCCACAATCCCTTTTCCATTCTCTTAGGATTTTGGGCAGGCACACATGCACATAGGCCTGGCATGATTTTCAAGCTACTGGGTCCAGGACTGGAACTGCGATGGGCCATGCGGGAGTCCAGTTCCTTAGCCACTACGCCACCTGCTGGCCCTATAGCTTTATTTAAAAAAAAAATTCCAAATGGAAAAGTATAAAGCATAAAAAAAAAAAAATCTAAAGGCCAGCAAAAAAAAAAAAAACCCAAAATACTTGTAGGACACTGGCTCTATTCAAAAAATAAATGCTTGATATACTGTGGGGTTTTTCTGTTTGTTTAACTTTATTCATGATAGTGTGTGTATGAGCATGAGAAAGAGGGAGATGTACAGTCTCACAGGATCACCCTGCCATCCCCTTCTCCCATTCTGCTAGATCTTAGGCACTCACGTGCATGCTTGGCATGTTTTAGACTACTGGTTGCCATATGGAATCTAGCTTTTCTTAAGCAGCACTTTACCACTGCAGTTAGGAGATGGCTCTAGAAACAAGTTTTTTTTTTTAACCTGATCTATTTCATTTTCTGCTAATGTCTCAAATCTTAGCCAACTGTAAGAGATCACAATCAGAACCCAACTTGTCTCTTTAAAGTTACAACATACAACTTTTTCTTTTGTCATGCCAGTATTCTTTAGGCTGATTCCAAATCTAAGATATGTTAATTATTTCTTCCCTGAGCATATGCATTCATATCACCACACAGATGTGCTGTTTCTAAATTCCTTTTACCTTGGTTTGGTTGAAGAGCCGCTGGTCGTATTGAACTTCATTGGAAGTACGTGGATTGGGCACACCAAGAGCAATGACTTCACTGATATCCCGATTTTCATTTCTCTGCAGTTTAGACCTATTTTAAGATACATCACTTAACTGAAACCCTTTGCAGACAAGCTGGATATGTTCAATTTAAATACAACCAATCGCAGAAGCTGAGGAAATTGATATGTCATGTTCATGTCTTGTGAACACATATTCCCTGATAATGCATAATCAGGCTGGCAACCTTTACAGCATTTCAAATACATGATGATTAGAAGAGGTACAGTTTCACAATTAGGACTTCCTATTACCTCAAAAGAACATCCAAGAGACTCATTCCTGACATGGAATTTTTTAATATAAGCAATCACAATCATGCTGAGATTTGAAATTGCTATGTCGTATTTGCCATTATTATGTGAGGGTTTGGGGGAGCAGATACGTACACGTGCCTGGTGTGAGTTTAAGCCATTGAGTCTGGGACTCGAATCGTGGTCGACTACATGGGAGTTCAGTGACAGCCATTATGCTAACTGCTGGTCCCACTAGGTATTATTTTTGACACTCAGAATAATTTAAAAAATAAGTATGTATGTAATCTATATCCCAATGAAACTATGGTAACTATCAACACTTTACTAGAAGCTTAGGTACTGAAATGATTTCTATATACAATTTGAGTTTCATCCAAACACGAGTTTACAGCTTTCCTATGTTATTAACTCTCAGAGCCCTTTTACTGGTTTTAAAGGCCAATGTATTTGCAAAGCCATTTAATTTTTTACAACTTAAAAATTTCCAAATAAGAAGTTATTGAACACTTTTACATTTAATTTTTTACAACTTAAAAATTTCCAAGTAAGTTATTGAACACTTTTCCACTTAACTATTCCTTCTCCAACACTACTTTTACCTAGAACTGTAAATTCATATTCTGTTTCTCTATGACTTTGCTTATCCAGGGAGATGAAATACGCTAATTAAACAACAAAGAACATCAACGGGAATCGTCTTTATGTTTAAAGTGGGACTTGAAAAAGCATTTTATCAGCTTGCAAGGTGTTCAGAGCATGGGAAAACTCTTCATCTGGGAAGAAAATGTTTTATATTTGCATTTAACCTGTGCTCAGAATTCCCCCTATGTATTACCAGCATTTCTTCAACTTTTCAGCAATGTTAGCCCTCAGCATTCGGTGAACCACAAACTTTCCAATCCCTACTTTATGTCCTAATACATATATTTGGTTTGTTCCATAGAAGTTTGTGCTTATTAAGTGTACTTTGTAAATGTTTTCCAGTCATTTAGAAAAATTAAAAAAAATATTTGTCTGAGGGTGCATGTACTTGCTAGAAAGAATATGGGAGAGAAGAAAAGTGAGAAAGCACCTCCTATGGGGAATGGCCATGCCTCAATCCCTTCTCCATTTCTCTCTCCTTTCAGGATTTTGGGCACATATGAACACACACCTGGCATGTTTTTTAAGCTGCTGGATCCAGAATGCAAACGACATAGTCAAGTGGGATCCAGCCACCTTTGAAGCTGGTTCCCAAATAATTTTAAATGTTCTTTTTGATTTTAAGTTAAACTGTTCATGAGAAGGAGTTTTCACTTCTTTTGAAGACTGTTCCACATTTCCCCCAGTTATACTGGGCATAGTACTCTGCATATGAAAGGATCTTAATTAAAGGTATGGCAGCCTATTTTCTGTCTAGAGGAACAGACACATGACCAATGTGTCTTACCATCTGAAGTAGAATAACAGAACATTCCCACTTACCACCACAAACATGATCTGAACTTCCTTTTCCTTCTCTTTTTTATTCACTTATATCTTCCATGAGGAAGCCACATACACACATATTCAGATGCACCCAAAATAGGGTCTCCACACTGATCCAGCCATAGCTGGCTTGGATCAAGGTCACAGGCATGAAGGACCAGCAGATGGTGTAGTGGTTACATTGCTGGACTCCCATATAGTTGACCACAGTTTAAGTCCCAGACCCAGTGGCTTAAAACTCACACCAGGTATATGTGCATGAGTGCCTAAGATCCCAAGAGGAGAATGACGGAGAAGGGATTACGGCATGGCCATCCCCCTGGGGGGGGAGGGGGTGATTTCTTGCTTTCTGTCTCCCTGTCTCTCTGGCGAGCACACCCGCCCTACAAAAAAATCTCTCTTACAAAAGATCACAGGCATGGGCACACGTAACTGGCATGTTCAGAAAGGTCCTGGGACAAGTACTTGGAACCTTTCCCTTGTGGGTCCAGTTATATCACCCCTGTACTACCACCTAGCCCCTGAATTCCCTTTCTGATGTCCATTATTCTTAACTCTATCTCTCTAAGGTGATGGATTACTTCCAGGGATAGTCAATTTTATTAAGAAAAGTATAAGAAAAGTAAGTGCTAATTTATTGACGTTATCAAACCAAAAAGGATGGGATGAGAAAACTGATCTTAGCAGACTAAAGCTCTTCTTTAAAAGGTACAAAAGGCCACTCTTCATAGTTCTTCATTTGTATCAAATAACACTTACCTCTTATCAGGAGCTGCTCTGGAAAGATTCCTATCATGCTGTCTCTCTTTTCGCCTATCATGCCGGATTTCATCTCTCTCACGTGCCTCCCCATCCTCTGTGTGGACACAGTTGAAAATGATTTCACCACTATGTTATCCATTAATGTTTTTAATGAGAGTGTATTCTTTAACTTTAGACAGAAAATCCCATGAATTCCATGGAAATTCCAAACTTCCAGAAATGCCATTTGGCATCACAGTATTTTTAACCTTGTAATTAAATTAAGTCCAATAAATAGTGTAAATTTAATTTCTTTA